AGTTCACAGCATTAGCACTTGCCCTACTCAATAATATTCTTTAAGATTTCAGGTTTTCATTACAAGTTTAGTATTGTTCATATTTTTTTTTCTTTTATGTCAAAATGCGTAATTAATTTTACTACTTAGATAAAAAACACATGTGCGATATATCACATTTTTCAATTTATTTAAATAAGGGATTGAAACTTTAAAAACCAAACACAATTTTAACAGTTTCAGTGAATCACTTTAGGGAAAATGTTTTAAAATAAAAGTTTAAGGAACTTTTTTGTAATTAAGTTCTAGATTTACAGTAAACGTATAACTAGTATCTATTCAAATTCTTAAAAAAAGTTCCGTTAAACCAAAAATAAACAGGAATTGTTCTTAAATTAAATTTATAATCTGTCTTAAATTAATTGTTCATTGTTTGGGAGTTTGTGGGGGGTTGTGTTGTGGGGACGACGGACCGCCTCCCCCCCCTCACTCCAAAAAAAACCCGAGAGTTTATATATATTCATGTTTATATATATTTTACTTCTAGATATGTTTGAAAATATGTTGACTAAGCAATTTAATATATTATCTATTTTTATTAAAAGATTTGAGGCAGTGAGATGAACTCTGAATTCTTCGGTGCTTCAAATTTGCCGCGGGAAATGTAATAAAATCTTCACGTAAAATTGAAGGATGTACATGAATGAATCATCCAATCCTAGGATATGTTGCTACATATAACTTCTTTGAATATAAACGAATATTTCAGTAATAGCAACTTATTACTTATACTTTAGTTATTATTTTATTGTAATACGTATTTTGGCCAGATTTAATGTTAATATTTATGATCAATATTGTTATTTTTAAGGGGCTTTCTCCCAGAATAATGTTGTTTCTTCTATTCTATTCTACCGCGTGACAGCGGTGCCCATCCAATCACGGACGGATCTATGGGGGGGGAGGCTTTCGGGCTGAAGCCCCCTTCTCCCCAAAATGGTAAAATATACCCATATTTTATGGAAAAATATATTAAAAAATTATCTCTTAAAGTATTATTGTTCGTGTAATTACATTTGAAAGGATTTTAGGAATCACTTAAACATCACTTCATATAGATAATTAGTTTCTTTCTTTTTTTCCAAAGTAATTATCGTCATTTTTATGAAAAAAAAAAGCTTTCGGGCTGAAGCTCTCCTCCCCCCCCCAAATTAAATCCCGGATACGCTAGTGTATTCAACTCTCTTGGTCGATGGGGCAGGAACGTACCCCCCACTCCTAGGATATTTTATTGCTCACCTTTTTTTAAAAACAGAGCAAGCGAAAATAGAATTAGAATACAATTACACTTGCTGCGGTATGTTCCGCGTTTTCTCAATGTTCCCCTCATTGTCATTCAAGTGATAGTATGAAACTTTCCATTTCGAAAATTCACAACCCATTAAAAATAGACCCTCTCCCCCTCAAAAATTTAAAAACTCCTCAAAAAAAACTCCCTTCTGGGCAACCCTGCCGCGTGATAAAATACTTGCGTGCCAACTTCGCCGCCTTTGCCATCTAGTCGAATTTTCCTCTTTTCTTAATCAATTTTTGTTTATACATTTTATTCATTTATGTAGATTGATTCTTATTGATCTTTATTTCATTGATTTTCTTCAAAATATTGGGAAGAAGGAGAAACCAATTCTCGCTCCTCTCTATTTTTATTGGAGGAGGAAGGGGGCGATCGCCACTCTCGCATCTCTCTGAATTCTTCGGTTGTGCATGACTCTATTCATTCTATACATACATGATTCTAATGTGTCGTTTGTTTGAAGTAACAAAGAATAAAGGTAATTTTTCAGATCGAGTTTTTACGGGAATCGGTAGAACTTTTAAATGAAAGTTTTCAAAAAATAAAAGTCCTGAAAACCTTTACTTGAAAAGATGCTAGGGAAAAGGTTCTATTTAAAAAAAAACTGAAAAACTATCAAAAATAAAAATTTCAGTGATCTCAACTTGTAGATTTTTTTAAATTTGTATTCGTCTCCAACCTACAGAGCCATTGGCGGTATTTTTATTTTCTGTTGTAATATTTGATTTCGATTAAATATTGGAACAGAGTGACGACATCCTGTTCATTGTCTCGCAAAATATCTTTTAATGTCGTGCATAAGTTTAATGTTTGCCTCTTTTTTTCGAATTGGGGGAACAATAAGAATATGAGTTTAACTGCCTGTGGTTTATTGTCACAATTTTCGCATATGGGTATTTCTAGACTTCTGTCACCCGTGTATAAAAAGAGTGTCAAATTCGTATTCGGCACAATAATATTTCTTTCCTTCTAGATTTTCTGGAGCTTACGGGCCAATTTTTGCACTCAGTTTTTATTTCTAATAATTTATTTTCTTTTGATTTCCATTGCCCTTCCCAATTTTCAAATAGCTTTTTTTTGTCGCGTGTAACCAACTGTCATCTGTTATGTCATTCATTGCTGTTATGCTTGATACTTCTCCCTTCCGAGCTAAATAGGCAGCTTAGTCTGCTATTCCATTGCCCAATATACCACTATAGAATGGAATCCAGACAAACTCCACATTCACTGTTATTTTTCTCAACTCCCACCATACGTTCAATATTTCTTATTTAGAGATTTGCTTCGCCATGGGTTGCAAATTTCCGCCAAGACTCTTTTGGAATCTGTTGCTATGATCCAGCTTAGAATTAAAAACCATATTTCTAATAATTAATTTTATAGTTCATACTAAACATTGTTCATTGAATATCTTAAATATACATGATACATTTTTAAAATTTCTGTACGGTACTATAGGAGTACGAACGGGTATATTTTTCGAATTTTTTTCAACTAAATAATTCGTGAATTTTCAAGGTTGATTATTCAGTAAAATCTCATGCGATTATTATATATTATAATTTTCCTGCTTTGCAATATTAGTAGTTTTCTTATGTAAATCAATTTTTTTTTTTTATTTGTAATCGCCTCTACCCTAGATGGTCAGTTTTCTATACTCTAGTGTAACATTTGGTCTCTATTAAGTATCGGAATAGGGTGGTGACTCCATCTTCGTTGTATCTTAATATTTCTTTCATTGCTATAGGTAGTTTCAATTTTTGCCGAATATTGTAGAACTCGTGGCACTCTACTAACAGATGTTTTACTGACTGCGGTTTATTGTCACACTTTTGGCAAGTGGGTGCTTCTAGTCCTCTGAGAAGGTATCCGTCAGTAAACATCCAGTGACCAATTCGTATTCTACAAAATATGGTTTCTTCTCTTCTGGTTTCCATCAAATAATTTATCAAGTCATTGAAGAAGAGTTAAATCTTATATACTCCACATCACATTACATTTTAAATAATAACATTTTTTCTTATTTACGTCATAAAATTCCATCAATCATATTTCAAAAGAATATTTATATATATATTTATATATCAAACACGATCCCACATAAACGTTCTCTCCAGATACGAGAGATGAATGTGGTTTTCGGGTTGAAATACTGGCTGCGATATGGGTGAGAGTTGATTAAATGGTGCTTTATAAAACGAAACAAAAAAAAAGGGGGGAGATTGCAGTTTATTTTCATTTTTGGTTGTTATAGCCGCGTTTACCCAAATCCATTCTTGATCAAGTCTTTTGAATATTTATTTACCTACCTCAAACGCCAATATCTTAGCATCGAAATATATAGTTTTTCATCTTATGCAGTGCATACAAGAAGGAAATGCCCTAATTGATAAATTTTCCTAATTAAAAACCAAAAAAATAATATACATAAATAAGTTAAGTTTCAGCGGGTTAAAACTATTGCAAATTGTCACTTGAATAAGTATTTAATGAATGCAAGAAACTAATTTACTTTATTCGAACACGACAAAGATAATAATGTGTAGTACAATTAAATCAAACGTGTGGTTTCATTCTTGAAGTCTATTAGATTAAAGTATGAAATGGTTTTATGATTAATACATTGGCATTACGTATCTTAAACATATATACAATATATATATATATCATATACAATATATAGCTATATATATATATTATATATAAAATATATATATATATATATATATAAAAACATAATTATTTAATAATTATTCAATAAACTACTTAAATAGAGCTTCGATGCCAGGGACACACGGACAGTCTCAGCACCGCCCACCAGCACAAATATTAAGCTAGTGGATCGCTAAGCGTCTGCCCACCCCGCCACTGAGCCCGAATGCAGAATATTACATAGAAAACAATGAAAATTGCATCTATTTTATATAAAGCAATTGAAAAATGCATCCCTGATAAATGTAACTAATGAAAGTTATAAATAATAAAATTATAATGATAAATAAAAGTTATTTATTATTTTAACCGGAATTAACTTTTATAAGTTATAATAATCTTAATTCATTACGAAGAAGGATAATTAAATCTTGTGAAACAATAACACATATCCAGTGCCGTTCTGCCACTGCTGCTGAAGAAGAAAGATGGCGAGCCTGTCTTCATGCTCAAGGAAATCACTTTGAACAGCATTTCATAATGTTAATGTTTACATTTAATTAATAAAGTAGTTTGAACAAATAAATAGGTGTTATTTATTTCATATAATGTAAATAATTCATATCCCTATATGAGCTTGATCATATAAATTTAATTTCTGTAAATTAATCCCTCTCAAAATATGAAAAGTATTTTAGAATAATTATATATAATAAAAAATAAAACTATCCATTTTAGTTTTGTTTTTTTAGACGCCATTACGATTCCGAAACACTTTCTTTATTTTTTGCTTCGTTTATTTATTTGAAAATAATAAACAAATATGTTATCATTTGCAGTATTTTTCTACTGAAAGCTTCTGTTCAAAGTCAGTTTTTGAAGTTGGTTTCCTAGCTGAATTCACTCCGAAGCTGAACCGATTTGAGTACTCCCATCAAAGTAGAAACTCCCTCATACAAGTTTCAAGTTGATATAAGTTTACTTTATCCAAAGGCCGCAGTACACGCCTTCATTGATGCAGGAGTTACCAACTTCCATGGAAACAGTAGTATCCTTGTGTATCCTCTTGTACCAGATTGCGGCTATTGCCGTTTCAATTCTTTTATACGAAAGAAAAAGTACAGGTTTTCAATTTGTTATTCGATTTTTATTCTTTATTTGCCCTACATTTCAGATTAATCTTGAATTTTCGTTGATCTGGATCTTAAATGGAACTCATCATGATTTTTTTTTTGTAGGTTTTTCTTCATATATCTTACTTTTTGTAATTTAAGTTCAGGTTGTAGTAATCAAGTTTTACTTTCATTAAGGCACATTTAGAGGTGAGAATTGAATTGAATAAGTAACATAAATTTATAAATCACAAATTTATCTATTCTTAATTAATAATAAACTTGCATTAAAACTATGGGACGTTTTTCGATGGCCAAGCACATTGAGGCTAAGTCCCTGAGAGTCTGGTTCTGAACGTTTTAGGTTTGATTCCCACCTGCGCCAGTTAATATTTGTTTCTCAGAGGCCCCGAAAAATTAATCTAGGCAACCTCTCAGCAGTCATCAGGGATTGAAAAAAAGGACCATCAAGGCAATTGCTGGACTAGTTTCCTCCCTCATCGGTACCAGTATTAGTAATCCGAAAACCGTGACCAACTTCTCAAAAATGAACATTTTAAAAAAGTTCCATAAAAGTTTCAACCCTTGTTTTTTACTTCTTATTATTTTTACTCATGTTAAAGAAAATACATAAGTAATGCATATTTTTTTAACTATGGTGTTTTTAAAAAATACACTACTCTTGTTTTTATTATTTAAAAGGATAGCCGATTTTTTGCTTGTGACAAAATATTGATCACTACACTAATATATCCAAGAAAAACAGAGAAGCACAAAATGCAATAGCACAGCTAAATAAAACATTACACTCTTCTATCAATAAAAGAACACGCGGTTAATCGCTTACACAAAAAAAAAAAAAAAAAAAAAAAAAAAAAAAAAAAAAAAAAAAAAAAAAAAAAAAACAACTACCTAACCAATCTTGACCAAATTGTTACAATGGCTTCTTCATGATCTCTGGAAAGTGTAAACCAATAATGAAATCTATCAAGTTCTTCTTACTTTGACGATAATTCATATATTGCGATAATTGCTTTGTTTTAATTTATACTAATTAAGTCTATTCTACTGAAGAATTTATTTGTTTGAATACGTATCTAACATAAACTACCAGACCTATCTGAAAAATATTTTTTTCGTTATACAGACTGTTTAACTAGGAAGGTTTTATGTCTGTAAAATAGGGACCAAGCAATAACAGTAAATATCATTCTGGAAAACAGTAGAAAATTATGTCAACACAGTTTTCCACAGATATCGTACAGCCTCTATAAATAAGACCCAGGTACAAACTATTAATCATATTGGAGTCCAAAACAAAAAACTTTTTTTTTCATTGAAAACTGTTGCTTTATCAGGTTGTGAAAAAAAAAACAGTATATGCTTATACCAAAAATAGAAATAACTACCAATTCCATTTATCCTGTTCTATTTTAAGTTTTCATTAAATAGTTTTTTTTTAAAATATCTTAATAAATTTACATCAAATTTCAATAAAAAAGGATTGTTATAAAGAGGAACTAACAGGATGATTTGAGGTAGTTCTCACTGCTAATATTTTTTTTTCATTTATTGCATTGTTTCATCAAAAATCATATTTAAAAAGATTTACATTTTTTTCAGATTTGAAATCGGCCAATACGTGACAATTCATGGTGACGTGATCAGCCACGTAAATATTAGTCACGTGACCGTTGAAGACGGTGGAGAGTACACGTGCACTGCTGAGAACAGAGCGGGAAAAGTTTCTCATTCCGCCAGGCTCAACATCTACGGTAATGAATGATTTAATTTATATTTGTATTTTCCTATTTAGTTTTTATGAAAATATTTACTTCATATATCCGATACTAGATTAAATGCAAAAAATCAGACACTTACCGTAAGTTATTTTTAGTCTTAGATAACATATAACTTGTATAACTCATCTTTTAACATAATACCTCATTCTCACAGCATAATTTTGTACAAAATTATGTTGTGTTTTTTAATATGTTGTATTTTTTTAAATCCATCAACATGGATTTGGACATGAAGAACAGCATTAAGTTTCTTAATTCTCTCTGAGCCGTTATATTGATATGACTTTAATGACGTAAAGCAGCTGAAACATTGGAAATAGGAAAAGTCCGAATTTCTTAAGATGTATAAATTTAATTTACCCGACAAGTCCTAAACTATTGGTATTAATTAACGTATTGCCTGTCTTCTCATTTTAAACAGCTAAAAACTGTTGACAAACTTGAAATAAAAACAAATTAGAAATATGAACTATATGTATAATATTTCTCTAAATCTTGGTAATATTATTTATTTATGATGCATTATTTATTTTGTACTTTACTTTTCTGTCAGTGTTCTCAGTTTCGTCCTTTATTAGTGATATGAAATTTCTTTCATAAGAAAAACAATTTTCGGCATGGTTATTCTAGGCACAACAACAGGGAGTATGTTTAAATAACGCATGGACGTATCGAGAGAGGTAAGGTGAGGCAGATTCATCCCTCGAAATAAAACGACCGATTTTTATACTTTCTTTAATTAAAGTAGCGTTAGAAATAAAATTGCATATCATTACTAAGATATTAAGTTTAGATGGGTTACGGATTTATCTATTGATTTCAAAAGTTGAGAGTATTTAACAAAATAAACATTATAGTTTACTATTTATGATGCTTTTTAAATTATTATGTCATCGCGGGAAATTTAGTCAGATGGCCCTTGAATTAAGTATTAAATGGAAGGGCCTTTTATAACTTTCATATAGTTTAAGTGAAACATTTCTATTATAATTGATGAAATTAAACGCTCCGTGACTTGGTCCAAACAATTACTTAATCGAATTCTTTCCTCAAAGTATATGTTTAAACAATAAATGCTTCCTCCTCTCCCACTCAAAGGACTGTTTGCACAGTAATCTATATTGTTATCCCGTTTAATTTATCTTCAAAACATAGGCCTCACAAATACTATGAATTTACATTAAATTAAGCTATAAACGTTCACGAACAATGCAGTGCATATCAAATTTTCTGAGAATTTGATGAGAGGGCAAACAAAGTAGACAGGAGTCGTCGGCAAGAGTAGTATCAGTACGAGGTTGCCCAATATAATTATTATAATAAAAGAAAAAAGGTTGTGCAAACTGTAATGAATGCCGACGCTCCTAAACGGTGTCCTCTAAAAATGGCCGAAATCGAGAGGCATTATAAAGACCTCTTTGAGAGCGAAAATCTCTGCGGGCGTGCGGATTACGAACAGTGTGCCCCAATGCCGGATTTGCTGTCCATTGAGATAGAAGCTATCAGGAAAGCCATTAAGTCAACATCAATGGACACATCGCCGGGGCCTGATGGAGTTCTGATCCGCACAATAAAATATTTTGACGTATCAAACATTATTAAAACGATTGCAGAGATAATGCTGAAGGCGGCCTATGTTCCGGAACCACTTCGACAAGGGCGCACAATATTGATATATAAGGGCAAAGGTGATATAAACAATATCTCTACCTGGAGACCGATCACCATATACTCGATTGTGCGCCGAATCATAGAGAAGGTTCTGGACTACGAATTAAGAAAGCAGGTCACCTTCCACAAGAGTCAGAGAGGCTTTATAAAAGGCCTCCCGGGAACGCACGTCAACGCGAGGATCATCGACGCGGTATTAAAAGATGCACAAAAAATGAAAAATGACTGTGCGATAGTTTTCCTCGACGTTGTCGGTGCTTTTGACAGTGTTGGGCACAAACACATCGTAAGCTCCTTAGAAGCGAGAGGTGTGTCACCGAATCTTACAAATGTCATATCAGCTCTCCTTAGCACGAACACCATAAAGATTGGCAACGGTGTCCATGCAACTAGCCAGATCAAAGTGCTGCGCGGTATACCCCAAGGCGGCCCCCTGTCGTCTTCACTCTTCAACCTGGCCATCGATCATCTCTACCGCGACCTGTGCGACGAGGACTTTTCCAAGAAATTTGGATACAAATTAAGGAATGAGCAGGATTGTGTGGTCCTCACAGGTTTCGCGGATGACCAGGCAGTGTCGGCGCGTGACAAGGGGGCTGCAGAAAGGGTGATTGACAGCATACAAAGAACATTTAAAGAAATTGGTCTGGCTATAAATCCTCAAAAAAGTATGGGCATCGTTATATATAAAGGAGAGCTGGAAACTACGGTGCTCTCCCTTGAGAATGGTGAGTACATCCAAACATTGAAGAATGGAGATACGATTAAGTATTTAGGATGTACATTCTCGGGAGAGCTACAATTCAACGAAGATTCGGTGACTAAATTGAATGATAATTTAAACAAGCTGGTAACCTCTTGCTTACTTAAACCTGAGCAGAAACTCAACATTGTCAATCAATATCTGTTCCCGGGTCTTACTTACTCTCTCCAAACTGCGCCCCTAACAAATCTACGTCCTGCTATATTGGAGGGCATCGACACTATGATTCGCAGGAGCGTAAAGGCCATTATTGGACTCCCTGCGAATACTTCCACAGCGATGTTGTATGCCCCCAGGAGATACCGAGGATTGGAATTAATCCGCTGCCAATGGGAGGCTCCTCTTCAACATTGGTCCATTGCTCAGCGACTGTCCAGATGCCCTTTTTCAGTATACCTTCGATTATTCGGCTGAAATTGCTGAATGTGCCGAGAGATTGAAGGATGAAAGCTCTACGGCAGTCGCTACGAGAAAATGCATTTGAGGAATGGGCCAACTGCAGGTGGCAGGGTACTGGTGTTCGCCATTTTAAAGAGACCCCGAAAGCGAATAGATACATCTACGAAAAGCTAGTACTTTCTGGGTCTGAATGGTCAAATGCCCTAAAACTAAACATTAATTATGCACCCCTGCGTGGAGTCCCAGGAGTCAGCGGACAGGTCAGAGAAGTTGGGTCTCTCTGCCGTAAATACGGCAGAGAGTCTGAAACACCAGCCCATGTGCTGGGAAAATGCCCCAACAACTCCCTCCTCATAACACGTCGTCACCACCGGGTCAAGTTCGAGTTGATGAGGCTCCTTAGGGAAAAAAAATTCACCTGCTTTGACGAGGTATATTGCTCGATAGTGAAGGCTCTACGAGATACGCTGATATCGTCGCATTTCCCAAAACAGGAAGGACAGCGCTGATCTTGGATCCAACTGTCCGCTTTGAGAGCAATGACCTCGATCAGGCGGGTGAAGTGGAAAGGGAAAAGAAGAACACGTACGATAAATGTATCCCTTTCCTAAAAGAGAAATTCCGTGAGACCTTCGGAGAGAGAGAGTTCACCGTTAGAGGCCTCTGCTTTGAGCCTCGCGGAACTATCCCAAAAAGAACAAGGAGCCTCCTCGAGGAACTAGGTGTCGACATTAAGGACGTAGCGAGGTTGGCTGAAAATATAGTCCTCGACTCCCTGGGAATCATTCACCACCACGTGCATGGCTAGCCCGAGAGTTTTAATTTATGTATTTGTTTATTTATTTATTTAGTGAATAATTGAAAACAATAGAGATAAAGAGAGAGAAGTGAGAGAAAGGTAAACTTAATTTTAAATAAAAAAAAAAAAGCATGAACAATGAGAAGAAGGAAAAAGGAAAAAAAAAAAATTATAAAAATAAATAAAATAATAAAAATGTATATATATATATATTTCTATTTTACTAATATTAACTAATATTTCTGTATATTTATATATAAGTTCATATATTGTCTTAAGGATAGAAGAGTATGCTGTGTATATAGCAACCCAATATAATTGGGCAGCAATCCTTTATATTTTATGAAAATAATGTGTTTCTCTCTCTCTGGTTTATTCGCGACTTTAATGTGATTCAAAAGATTAACTACTTGACGAATGATAATTGCATTTAAATGTTTATATTTACCCATGATCGAAGAATATATTATAAGATTGGCTTTAAAATTGAGTGAAGAACCGATAAATTTAGGTACATTTGATGTATTCCCATATCATATTTCTTAAGCTTGACGATGATAGTTAAATTAAATCTCTCTAAAGAAGTAAATTGAGTTTTAGTCGTGATAATACTTATCGAATAACAGTAGAAACTGAAAACAAACTCATTTTAAAGGGCTTACAACTAAAATCTATTTTATGTTCTAGATAATCTTCATCTGACCACATAGCTTCGATCTGTCGGTTTAATACGGTTGCATGATATATGAAATTTGAAATTTAATTGGTGAAATTAGTCGGTTAATTTAACCAGAAAAGTGACGAGTGAAATGTCCTTCAGTGTTTTCATAAAAGTGTGGCATCAACGACCGAAATACTCATCTCAGCCGTGAGCTTTTACGGTCATTCGCTTCCTCGCGCAGTGGACTAGTTAAATTTGAACTTAAAGTTAAAGTGCGTTCATTTGATAGATGTATAGACTATTCATTATCATTAATATTAGAGTTATCGGAAAACCTTGGCAAAGACAATTATTTGTTGCGATCAACGCTAATTGTCAACTTCCTTTATCTCAACACCTGTTAGCCCCACATTAAAAAAATATACATGATATGATAAAGTTTGTGTTTTTTAATCAGCTATTCAGAAATGTGTTTTGAAAAAAAAAATTTTTCAAATCAACCTCTCTGGACACTTTTCAAACCCTATGTAATTTATCATACTGAGTGGTAAATTATATTTAGTGCTACGAGTAACGTGAATTTTTTTTTATTTTTCTAGTTTCTGTCCTAACCTAAATCAATGTTAAATCCACAAAGTTTAAATAAAAATATCTGGTGTGTCCAGTCACACAAGTTTCTAACTGATTTGAG